GGTAGGGCGTACCATCGCCGTACCATCGTATCGTCAAGACCAATTGCGTGTCGTCTATAGATATTTTTCTGTTATAAGGGCAAATGTACGCGGAAATTTTGTGTGTAATATGGTGCTTAAAATTACTGGGGTTTGAAGAGTATAAATATACTGCCACCAATAAAATGAGATATACCTTCTCCGCTCCATACAGTGTCCAACCCCCGATTTTCAACCTCTATAATTTTTTTTCTAAGAATAATGAGAAGCCTCTGAAACGTCAAAAACGAAGTTTGGGTGCATTTTATTTTTTCGTAGTTTTGCCAATTTCCAAAAACTACAAATCTTTTTCGTCCTTTTGTGACTGACAAACCGATAGACCGACAGACAGCAAACCGACGGAAATGTGTGACATGGTTTTTCGTGGTGTACACGTTATACTATATAACATCCAAAAAACGTATCTCATTTTCGAAATGTTTCGCGATTACAATACCCCCTCGCTAGTAGGCGTGGTGAGTAAAATTATCAAATTCTGTTAATTTTCATAGATTCTTAAAATTTTTAGTGCAAGGTCATCGCCTTAAGCGCTTGATTTTGCGTTTCCTTTTATATAACACTATCCATACGTAGCAATGCCAATTTGTTTGTTTCTGGGTAATTCACAGCAGTTAAACTGACGAATAAGGTATGAAATAATATGCAAACATTGTGATGCTCACTATAATTCAGTCCGTCTCAAAACTCGTGTCGAGGTTGATACATTCGCGTCTACTTGATTCAATGGTATCGTGGTGATACGCATTTTATCTATGTTTTTTGGAATTCAGATGATCATTGAGTCTGTCATAAAGTAAGTACAGTTAGAGTAAATAAATTATCGAAAAATAGGCTTCAGGATGAGGTTCATCAGGAATTGAAAAGAGATTAAATGTTTTTTAAATGCTTGCGCCTAAAACGAGGGAAGTGAGGAAAGATCAAAATGGCGTCATGTAGGTTGACTCTGCACTTCCCTCGCACCGCTTTTACCAGTTCATAAAGAGCAAAACGTTAGCTACGAACATGTATAACAAAAAAAAAATCAGTCAATCAAACAGGCCCATACAATTAGTTCATAGTCCCCACCCGTTTGATAAGGTTGCGATATACTGAGCTAATAACAGTATGGACCCGAAGGCTAGTGAACGGTGAATGGTCAGACGCAAGTCTTGCACACAAAGGTATACGTCCGTCGCGATAGCGTGCGACTGATAAGCAATGCGTAGGATGATAATATTTCTCGATCAGTCTAAGCTTTAAGAGCAAAAGTGCTGGAAAATATATGTGTGAAGTATGTATCAATAGGTACGTAGAATCACTGAGGTCGGAAGCGCATAAATATACTACCGCCAGAATCTGAGATATACCCTTTCACACCATTTACAACCATAAATTTCTGACCCCAACAGAAGTTATTCTGAAACGTCAAAGATCAAAGTTTCAGCGATTCATATTTTTCTCGTTTTTTCCTGTAGTTCAGTCGCCTCTGTATCGATACTCAGCAACAAACTACAAATTTCTTTCGTTTTTGGCATAGTGTCAAAATGTCATCAAAATCCGAGCAGTTCTTTCCAAGTTATAGATGTGTCGAGCTGTCAAGGATTATCAGATAGACAGACACATCCACGGAAATGGGTGACATCGTTTCGTAATGTATGTACATGTCATGTAGCATCCAAGAAGCATATATACATATGAATTTGAAATTCTCATTGATTACAATACTTTCTCGCTAGTGGCCAAATTAAAGCTACATTATTGTAAAACATGCACCTTAAATTATAAGACCATAAAAAAGTTATTTGACTATTCGTGAATAATATTTTAACCTTACTTAGATTTGTCGGATCCATATCGAATGCAGAAAATTTAAATCAACCGTGTCAGATTCATGTTTGGCTTTTGTAAATTTAGTCATGTCTCTTCAAAGACTAAAGAATTACTCTGGTTGAGAATGGAACCACAGTTTAGTATTCACCGTCAAAGTTGTGCGTACACAAAAACCATGGGATAAACTTGTACCAAGATGTAATATTAATCCGAGAGTGCTCAGACATAACCACGGGATTATTCTTGATATTTTTTATTCTATCTATTCCTTGTTTCATTTGAGTATATATAATTCGCTTTTATTATTCTTTCACACATTGGGGTTTTCTGTAAGCTTTCTAGCTCTGTAGCTAAATTTCGCCTCTCTGATATGCTTCAGTAACGTCATTTTTTATTATTATTAATAGAAATAAAAAGTGTTGAATCCAAAAAAAGTCAGTAAAGGGTTTTCATTCCTTGTCCTGAATCCAACAAGTTTTATCAGTTTGTAATTACCTAAATGAAATTACGTTGGGTACATGTATAAATGTAGTAACAAATTATTGGTAAAAATTGTTGCAAATTATGGGATATACCGGGTGGCGCATCGAAAACGAAACGGACGCATTTACTGGCAGATCGTTTTTTTTTTTTTTTTGAAAAACGCTCAGACCCAGCGATTTTGTTTTCGAGGAGGACACAAGTTTGGAAAAAATAACGTTAACACGTGACAGCCCCCTGGACAGGGGTGACACCAACCCTAAAATCTTAAATGGAAAGGGGGGTCGAGTGATACCTTTTTTTAAAGGTCTTTCAATTCCTTTTATGAAGATATAAGATTAATGTATTTCAGTTCAGTAGTTTTGAAGATTTATTGATTTAAAGCTTAAAGTAGACTTTAATAGGTACATCAGACTAGTTTGTACTACTTTCAGAAGAAATTTGACTAAAAGAATTTACTCAATAAGTAAATGCTTTTCTTCACTACGCCCATGGTTTGTTTATCATTTTGTTGTTGAAAATAGCCATTGGAGCGTCTTTTGTGGCAAAGAAGTTATTTCTTGAAGAAAGATAAGGAAATATCTCGTACTTCTTTTAAATAGGAATTTAGTACATAGTACATAGTACATAATAACTTGTAACGCTTTATTACATAAATTAACCATGGTATATTCCACAGCAGAAAGAGTTGAAATTATCGAAATATTTTTCGGAAATAATCAGTGCGCTAATAGAACAGCAGAAATATTTAATGAGCGACATGAGAACAGTAACGTGCATCGAAAATATGTTCTAGAACTAGTATCTAAATTTCGGGAAACTGGGTCAGTCGCCAATAAAAAACGCAACATTGAAAATCCCATAAGGAACGAAGCAATAGAAGTGGGGGTTTTAGGGCAAGTGTATGTTTAAGTACCCGCAAATTAGAGACTGTGTGCTGGTGTTAGTCGACGTACTGTCTAAAGGATTCTAAAGACCCATAGTTTTCATCCGTATAAAATTCACCTGGTACAAGAACTTAATGAAAACGATTTTGAACGACGATTACAATTTTGTGAAGATATGAGTGAACGAACTATAAACGATGAACATTTCTATTCAACGCTTGCTTTTCCGACGAATGTTCCTTTTTCTTAAATGGCGTATTAAATCGTCATAACCGCCGATATTGGTCCGATTCTAATCCCAGAATTTATCATGAGGTTCATACACAGTAGCCACAAAAATTAAATGTTTGGGCTGGTATTTTTGGCGATCATTTAGTTGGTCCTTTTTTGTTACCTAGAAATTTGACCCGTGAAATGTATTTGGAATTACTGGAAGACGCCATAGATCCTGCATTAACAGCCATAATTGAAAATCAGAATGATCGGCGGTACATTGCGAATAGGTTGATGTTCCAACAGGATGGTGCCCCACCACATTACGCATTACGTGTTCGAGAATATTTAGATCAGACGTTTCCAGATCGATCGATTGGTAGAAGAGGTGCCATTGAATGGCCCCCAAGATTGCCAGATTTATCTCCTTTGGATTTCTTTATGTGGGGTCATTTAAAAAGCAAAATCTATGCTACTCAGCCCACATCATTAGAAGACCTGCGACAAAGAATTGTGATTGAGTGCCTTCAAATTACTCCTCAAATATTGCACACTGTGCGGCAACATTTTGACCAAAATCATTATTATTGCATGGAGAGTCATGGTAGCCATTTCCAACATTTACTTGCCTAACGGGTCAGTTCATTCTTTATTTTTGAATTACTTTGCTGCCAAATGTATTGATCTCCACTAATGATGATGTATTAGATTTATTTAAGCTTTAAATCAATAAATCTTCTAAACTACTGAACTGAGGTACATTAATTTTATATCATTATAAAGGGAATTGAAAGACCTTTAAAATAAGGTGTCACTCGACCCCCCTTTCTATTTGAGATTTTGGGGGTGGTGTCACCCCTGCTTAGGAAGCTGCACGTGCTAACGTGTATGTATCTGGAGTCAATGAAACCGAACCTGAATTTATCCTGAATGTATGTAGTCGCATTTAACATGTACTTAGTATTATGTAGTGAAAAACTGCAACACTATGCAACTTTGAGGTTATAAACGCCCATTTTTGTTATCGATGGCTACTTGCAAATGACTCGTGGGACAAAATCGGATGTCTGCGTTCTAATATGCTCGTGAAGAAATTCTGAAGTATTATAGGGCCGAATTTGGTGTTGAAAATTATCTGTCCGGGGGTCACTCGTAAAGCACGGATTTTGTATTGGATTCCGAATCTACGCAACCGACTTACTCAGAAAGCGATTTTTCATTCATATACAGATATACGCCAGCAAGATAGGTGCCTGCGGGCGCCCTTGTGCACAAGAATTTGTTTTTGAAAATTTATTATGATGCGGTTTTTAATAACTAGAAATGTTGCAGATATTTCAAAAAAAAATATTAAATGAAATCCAAAACCTGTTTTAGCGGCCATGTTGTATTCAGGCTTTACTCCTTTTTTATTTTCAATGTAGCCATCAGTACATATATGATCCAACTGCAATGGCATAAATAAAAACTAAGCTTCACTCACAATAACCATCTATCATCTGTAATACTGATACTCGTAAATGTATATAATTGGGTGTACTTGAAAAAATCATCATAATTTGCTGATCAATTAGAGAGTAACTGCCATTACAAGGCAGATAAGATTTATTTTTTGCGGTCGGTTTCATGTATCTGTACAACAAATTTAACGAGAAATCTGTTCCAAATATAGATAAACTTTAATCGGTCAGGTTTCTAAACCATGTCGTTGCTAAAAACATTTTAGTTTTGATTATCTACTCACCATGCAGATATTCTGTTCGTTCTTGCAAAGTCACGCAAGGAATGGTGAGAAAGCTGGTGACAGGGGGCCTGAGTATGATCCTGTTTATAAACAAAGGTATTTTTGAACAACTTGATTATCAGTTATCGCAATGATTGAATGTTGCTCTATCGGCAGCTTCGTCACAGGTTTCGTTTTGAAAACCTAGGTATCTATATCTATCTGGAGATTATCGCTGCGTTGGGTTCTACATTTTCTGGCACTCAGCATTCTGCCATACCAAATGAGAAGTACCAGAACAGCTATCCATTTTAAGGATTAGTGATACCATTGGTCGAATCTCCTAGAGATTGTAAGCATACATGCTGTTTGTTGGTCATTGCTACATGCGAAACACTCTGCGAATGGTTCAACTGAATGTAACGAAAAGCACTGATGGCTTATATATTTCAACAACCACTTTTGATTCGTGGAAGCAAGTGCGCGATGAGGAACACACTTTTTCTGGATCAATTCGAATGTTGTTACGAAATCTGAAAGTTTGAAGTGTTAGTTATGACTTTGTATCTGTCTTCATCACCAAGTACATGGCTTGTATGTTATATTGCTATTTACATACTGCGCCCATAATAAAAGTAAACAGTTGCAGAGTAGTCTTCATAGTCTTTAAGGTAAATTGTTGCTTCTCGTATTTATCATTCTATCATCGTCCTTGCAGCAAAGAAGCAGCTCACCAGTGGGGTAAAGCTGTTATCTATTAGAGCATATAGATTCGTCATTCAACCTTCTTACTCCAGACACAGCACTGCTCTCAGGTTTAGAAAGCTGCTTCTCCATGTACACTATCTATACTTGATTGACGTAGTTCTCGTGCTTCTCCACCCATGTAACAACGAATTTGTTCTGCAGAGCTTTTTTTCATCATTTCGATACTGTTAAAGTTCGCTTTCGATAAAACTGTGCTGCATGACCATACATTCGACCCTCTGAAATAAAGAACTCCTCCTATGCGAGAAACATTGTCCACGTTCTCTAACAACATTATACTAGTTGCGATACTTCTGTATTTAGATTTCCTTCTTTAGGGCGCGTATGAGCCGTAGTCGCACTTTAGATCCCATAAATCAAATAACGCATAAACGGCGACTTACAAAGAAATATTCGGGCAACTTTCTTAGAGTACTGCATCTATAATTTCGAGATACTACTCGTATCGCTCCAGAGAAATATAACAAAATGGTAAAAATGACAATAGAAACATTTCTGCTTTAGTATAAAAATGATTCCACTATATCGTCGGTATCGGCACGTACTGGCGTAACTAACATTTTACAAAATTTACAGGAGAGCTAGAAAACGGAAATCAGCAAGAAATAAGATGAAAGTGACATACTGATTTTTTAGCGTCGAACTGATATACAGTTACGTCACTTCGTGAGGTGAGAAAATACGAAGAAATATGTGAAATTACGGCGTAACTCGATTTTAGATTTTTGTCATTTAGGCCTGTACGAGACCGATGATATTTTCACATTGAACGGTCGATGGCGTTCACATAATATACGAGTATGTCGCATAAGAGATCACTAAATCTCATAATCGGTGACTCAAGGAATAAAAATACTTGCGCAACTTTGATAGACAAGCGTATTCTTTTTTATGAGGTATTTTTGTTATATCTATTTGCCTTTTTGAGAAATATGAAAAGTTTGACAGTTTTGACATTTACTTAAAAAAACTATTCCGCTTCAAGGATATATCAAGAGTTCTGTTTTATCCATCCATAATGGTGTATTCAAGGTGTACACGTGTACCATTTTTCAGCTTTGTGAGAATTTTTGTGAACCTAATTTTTATTCTGACTGGAATATGAAACAAATTACTCCACCTTGATATGTTTTGCCTGATATTGAGAATATTCCATATTTTGTGAAGTAAATATTTTGTTACAGGAGGTCAAAGTAGATCATTACATCACTGAGCCCACTAATAACCTTGTATATGCCGCCTACAGCTCTAGGTCTAGTATCTGAAAAATCCTTTTTTTCAGGAACCCGACATGGTGGAAACGAAGAACAAGCATGGAAAGATGTCTCACACTGACATCTGCTGTAACAATACTTATAGGAGTGTCATTAGTCATAGCGTTAGCAACAGTGCTCTACAACAGAAATCGACAGATAAGTAAGTGATTGTGTAGTATTATAGTTATTGTCGAGATCCCTTTTATCCATTTTTATCTGAACAACCATTGTATTAGTTAAAGGAAAAATCATATCGTGTACCTATCAATAAATTATCAGAATGGCGGAATACATGGTAAAGTTAGAGAGGTTCAAAAAGGTTTCAATAGTGTTGAGCCTTATAAACAGACGTGGGTTTGAAAAACCTTCAAAAAATTATAGCTTTTGCCCAACAAATTCAGGCTATTTAGAAGCAGCCAGTCAAGGATTTGCTTGTCTCATAATTCTCATAATCTGTAATGATGATCAAAGTGCACTTGACATAAGTCAATTTTCAAGTTCTGTCATTAAATTCATATTTTTACTGTTATTTTTTAAAGTGCAAGTGTTTGCAGATACTTGTAGTGTTAGACGACATCAAGACATGGTACTTCTTACTTAATTTGCAAAGAGCAGCATAAGCTTAATGAACGTAGATGTTTCCACCTGTAGGTATTATTATGTTGATACAACGCTATCACATTGGTAGTCAAATGAGTGAAAGATAAAATATGCACTAAAACTATATAATTTTGGCGACATACATTGCAACGTAAACATTTGAGATTGGTTCCTTCTATTTGAATTCGTTACTTGTGGCTAATAACAATTTTAAAGCAAGCAACTGCAGCCCGCCCTTCGTATAGAGGGATGTTCATTATTCCAAAGTTTGGGGCAGAAGCTAAGCACAATTCAGCCAGATACTTCGGAAGAAAGATAAAAGAAACGTAATCACATTACCATTTTGATCTAGTGCTTCTCATAAGGAATATTTCTCTGGAGCATGGGGCAAATTGACACGACTTGCAATAAGAATTCTTTAAAGCAATTTGTAATGTAATCAAAACGTCCAAATCATAAGCTATGTGCTTAGCTAGATGGATCGGATATTTCGATCTCGCTACATAAGGCGTTCCAGAATAGATCGAGTTTGATAAGCATCACTTGGAGAACACAACCTCAAAGTTTGCAGCAAATCGACCGATCTCACTTTTTCTATAAGAATGGTGGTCCTTTTGAAAATGTTTAACTATCTGTAAAGTGTGTTTAATCTTTTCTCGGGAGTGACCCAAGGGTCCTCTATTATTCGATCAATACCCAAGGGTTGACCAACCTTTAATCGGTTTAATCGGCACTCTGCCCTCAATGGTCGACAGTGTGTGCCTACAGAGTGGCATTGACATCCGGGTAGACGAGGTCTGTAAAATAACTGATGGTACTCATTTCTTAAAATTTTTATCCAAGTATAAATAGAATTTAATTTTTTAACCCTCAAAACAACTCCCTTCTGTAGCCTCACAGCGCTGGAGGCGGTTCTTCCAATCCTCATAGAAGTGCTGGAACGCCGATACTGGAATAGCCTTCAGCTGGTCGGTTACAGCCGTTTGAAGGTTTTCGACTGTCGCAAAGTGAGTTTCCTTGAGGTAATTTTTCAACTTCGGGGAGATAAAAAAGTCAGAAGGACTCAAGTCAGGTAAATAAGGAGGCTGAAGAGCCACATGAATGTTTTTACTGGCCAAAAACTTGTTTTCTGTGTGACAATGCGCATGATCGTGATGCAACACCCAGTTGTTCTTGATCTGATGAACGGTGCTTTGAATCAAATTCAACTCTTCCTTGATGATTCTGACTGTCAACCGACGATCTGAACCCACAGGATCCCGTTGCACTGTGCCCAAGTCTGAAGCAAAACCTGATAACACACCGTTGCTTGAAAGTGATGTCGCTTATTTTTAGAACACAATAGAGAATACTCTTGCACAAAAAAAGTCGCTACGGACAACCAAATTACTCGAGCGAGTTCAAACTTGTACTGAAGGCAGATCACATATTCTCCTGTCTCGCCTCCAAGCGCATGTACAGACTTCGTACTTGTAAAAACACTTTTGTACCTCCAACAAAACTAAGTTTCAACACGCAATTCTGCTTCCCCAAGGCGCAGTCAAGTAATCGATTGAGTTCAAAACAGGTAATTTACGTTCACTTATGTTTGTATCGTTCGGCTGCTATTTGCTCAAACGCTAAATTATAGCTAGACAGAAAAATTATACTCAGCAATACCACATGATGTTAATGCCGAGTTCACATAATACCGGATATGCGTATGTGCAGGACTTGAGCAAAATTTTGCATTTTGGTAATCTCGGGAAACGTCCTATCGGTAATCGTATGCTTTGTTTATAAAAATTGATATTTGGTGCCCTTGTTCAGAAAGACAATCAACAATCGTGTCCAATCTCGTCCAAGAGCTGTGAATTCCACATGACTATTTGAGGAACAGACTTTCAAAAGGCGTTATGCTATGACCCTCATAAATTGAGGAGAGTGGAAAAAACTGCTGTGACAACATGCGTAGCTGCAATTGCTTGATTTTGGTGAATCAAATACCACGAAAATAGATAGGCTTTGATGGTGAAGGAGGATTACCTGGAAAACACAGAAATTCCATTTTTTGACCAAAAGTAGATTCTATTTGATGCACTTTGTTTGTCCGAAGGTGAAATGTCCTTCTGTTTGGGAAACGGTAACTTAAGTCAAAATACCTTTATTCCATTTACCGATGAATACAATCTTATAAAAAATAGGCTTAGAGAAAAATATTCAAACTTTCACTCCATCATCATCCTCGATGCAGTTACATACTTCTTGGGCATTATCTTCATCATTGTCTTCATCACTATTCTCTTGTAGCTCTTCAAGGGGCTCTGGAAAAATAGGACGAAGCCATTGCAATTCCTCATCCTCACGCCATCTTTCTGTGGATAGCTGCACCAAAAGGTTATGCAGACTTTTCAACTTTGTCCTTTTTATTTCATGATTCAAAGGCAACCTTGGAAAACTCAAGTTTTCAATCTTCTTGTTTTTTTAACAACGTCAAGTACTTGGTGTTTTCATCGTCATTTCTGTAAAAGGTTTCTGTTTTCACCGCTACATGTTGTTTTGAAGTCCATTTTATCAAGATTCGCTTAGCATGACTGATTGTTTCGATTTTCTTAAAAGTGGACAAAGCGGATTTCAGGTCATATATTTTCCAGTCAGTCCCAAGCTTTCGAACCAATCTGACTTGAGAATACAACTCCCAGTATTTTTCTGGTGACTTTAGTGTGATATGGGACCTAATAAGCTTCTCACATCGTCCAAAAATGCGATCCGCTGGCAGGTATGAATGACCTCTTATTGGAAAAACCATTCTTATAGATTGCAGGCCTTTTGGTGCTTCTTTATGTAGCCACATCATTAGCATGTGAACTATGTGACTGTTCTTGTTTTGGCCTCCACATCCATCAGAGAACAACGTCAATTCTTTCAAGTTTTTTGGAAATTCAGCCTTTCTGAGAAAATCGTAAAGAGCAGAACCAACTTCTGTGGCACCCCTTCCTGCTTGGTGTTCTAACCATGAGTAGAAAATTGGTCGCTTGCAAGTTATGTCTGTGATACAGAAAACATACAAGGAGAGTTGCTGTGCATAGAATGCCTCTGAAATCGGTACTTTAGGGAGAGGTTGTACCTGCTGAAGATCGAAGCAGAATGCCATCCCGTCTCCAGATTTTTCCTTCATCATTTTAAAAAACTGCTTTGCTCGTAACTTATGTACTCTTAAATTTGTAATAACAGTTTGCTTTTCGCGTTGGCCGTTCACCATAGAGAGCAGATTTAGGTGCCGCGTACAGAATCCACAAACATCGGTCGCCGGTGTACCGAATCCTATGTTAAAGTCATTCGAAAAAATGCGACTAAAGTACTTATAATTTACTTTATAGCTTTCTTCAACGCTATCATTGTATAGCCTATGTAGTATGGTGATATTGTACTCTGCAGATAAATATATCCTTTTAGATTTCGCTCTTCCGTAGTGACTCTCTTGCCCCTTTAAACTTGCGATGAATGCTTTCACTTTTTTGCGCTTTTCCACATTTTTCTGCGAACGTCTGTCACCACCACGATTTTCAGAAATACCCGATCCAGCTTTCATTTGCCTAGAAATATTTTGTATGCGTTTCTGACTAATACCAAAAATTTTTAAAAACATTTTCTGATAAATTCTTTTCTTGCTGTTGGAGCTCCACACATTGTAATGCACAGTAATGTTGCGGTTTCTAGTAAAGCTTTGGTCTGAACGTTTCTTTCTCCTAGGAGTTCCAATTTCAATTAAATGAGATAGTTTCGTATCTTGCTTAACCTTGTCTTTTTGTAAATAAAACTTTTGTCGGCAGCGCCTTAGATCTTCGAAAGGAATATCCTTACATGAAAGTTTTTTATTTCTGCCATGCTTACAGGAGACTTTGAAACCATCAAGGTTGGGATCAGGGTCATCGTATCTAGAAATAAAACCGCAATCTATGAGAAAATTCCCCAAATAACATAATTTACTATATCTACCGTAGTTCTTTCTGCCGCTGCCGTGATGTTGCACCCCATTTTCGTTTTCTACTGCCTCTGTCTTGATCAAAAACAATATGCTCTTCATCCATAATAATGGTCCGACCGATCTAACCCACTCGATATCACTATGCTAACTGAAGCAAGTTACGACAGGATTACAATCTTGAGACACGTGTCCAAACAAAAGGGTTTACTTGCTGCTCATCCAAAATATACTGGACAAACAAAAAGCGTTCATGCACTAACTAGCTCATCAAAGTCTATTTGTTTGTCCAACGCAGAAAAAAATAACGCTCTTTGAAAGTCTAGACGTATTAACGGGCGTTATATTTATCGTTTAACATCGTTTTGGATGTCCAAGGAGCGGTTGACAAATGGAGATGAACCTATACATTTGATCGCCATCTTTTGGCCAATTTCGTAAAAACTGCACTTAATGCTTTTTGAAAGTCTGCTCCTCATTTATCCTCTTAGTTTCAATGATACAAAAGATATGTGTAACAAATTTTTAGAAGCTTAGGTTATATGAAATGGTTGCACACTTTGACCACTTTTATAATAATAACACTAGTAAACCAGATAACAGGCATTACGATCATGTTCAACAGTTGTGTGTTGATCAATTTTGTACGATGTCATCCCTTTGGTTCTCTCAGGGGCGACTTTTCTGTGATGTCCAACTACCTTGCATAAGAATTGTCTTTGCTGTTCGTCGCTGGCCCATTCCTTAAACTTCTTTGGCAAATCTATTCCTGTATCTGCGGTATCATTAACTATCTTATTAGCCTGGAGTGTAATTTAATCAGGTTACTTGATTTCGTGATGTAATATTATATAGTATATAAGTCCGCATCAAGGGTCATTATAATCAGTTGACAAACAGTTTTACAGCAGAGCTTCAAAGAGATGAGGCTCCCGTGTACGGACACGCTCACTGCTGCAATATGTTTTTTTTTCATGAAAAGTCTAAATAGTGCAAGTATGATCCGAAAGAGATAAAAATGCATCCTAGTGTTTTCGAAATTTGGTACACATCTTTTGTACCGCTGTAACTCAGACATGCAAAGTCATGTGAAAATCACAACTTTGGGAAACTGAAACACTCTAATGTTCAGTCAGGAAGAACAATTATTGCGCTACTGTACATTAACGAATATCTACGATAGATTATATTCATATTACCTAGATGCCCAAAGTTGTATTATATACATATCTGCCGAATTGCATCTGTTTCAATCGCAATCAAGTAACCTTTCTTATCTCCGTTATTCTTTTTTCTCTCCAAGGTATATTGTCAAAACCACAACAAATCCAATGACGAGTTATAGCAATCAAAGGAACTACCCACTTATGTGAAGAACATACTTATAAAAAGATGTTGTCACTATTTGTGCAAAAAACCTTTGTCTGTGCTACAACAGACTCATTGTTCTATACTCAACACTTACCTTGTACAACAATAAAGTAGATTATTCGCAAAGCGAAATCAGTTATCTTTCGTAATTTTAGAATAATGACATCAATTTTATTTGATAACCATAAATTTAATTTCAGTATCAGATGCCAAATTTCATGTAAACGGAACATGTAAGTTTTAAATCAGCTTCTGATAAAACAACTACAAAAAGAGTCATTGACCAACTTTCTAATTGCTGCAATATTTGTCTGGTGGAGGAAATGGCAAGACTAATTTCGAACGGTTCAACACATCCAGCATGTACCATGAAATGAGGTAGAACTAACCGGTCATTTTGGAATTAGCATACCGATGCACATTTTAAGCAAGTATATAAATATTGAATAGATTCAATCTACTTTTTATGATGTATATGATAGTGATGAAAGGTGATATAATACGCAGAGGATCTCTACATACAGGGTGTCCCACCTAGAACTGCAGCGAGTGATTACCCAAAAGGTGAACGTCATACAGTATAACTGATGGGAGCAATTCCGCTAAAATGGTGAACTTTCGGTTGGCCGGAAGCAAATGCCAGCTTGCTTCTTGTAAAAAGCACGTATTGTGCATTATTTAATTTTTGAATTCTATGCGAGGTTCTAACTGACCCCCAGTAATAATGAATTCATTACAAAGATTTTCTAGGTATATGTTTGTTTCGGTTAGGATGAAAAACGTTTTTCATCCATATTGTTTGTCACCGGATCAACAGTTTTGGACTAACTGCGAATCGTCCTTAGTTGGTCCTACCTCTCATCTCACCGAAGTGATCGCCTGGCTTGGTGTGGGAAACGGCTGAACTGGGACCTTGAATGGAATACTACTGTTTCTAGTGATTAATTCCAATTCTGTTGGGCGATGCATAATGGGGGTGAGAAGGTGACGAGGTGAAAGACGAGATTTTTGATTATCGATGGAATTGAATGTGCCTCACACCGGGGCTTTACTTATCTAGAGCTTCACCGACCCATTTGTCTAATAAGATAATATGCGACCACATATAGCCAGGATTGCATTGGTCAAATTTGAAGAAAATCAAATCGATCGAACACATCTGGGACATTATGAGAAGAATATTACTCCACTTACCACCCGGCGGTTCTCGTAGGCGGAGCCAGAATGTGTGCATGTTGCATGCACACGTGTTCCCTCGCCAGAGTCCGTGTGGCGTCCCCCCTTTCCCATGTATCCCACATAGCCCCACGGTACCCAATGGGTGCTTAGGCCTTAGGCCTTCGTGGTAGTTGGAGTATAAAAAAAAAAAAAGTAAATTTATTATTACTGGGTCTTCTTATGTCTATGCCATACATTTCTTGCAGGAGACATCCATCAGTCATACTAACTACTGCTGCTGCTGCTGCTGGCTGTTACAGTTTACTTTTATAGTCGACTAAAAATTAACATTATCTTGATAAATTAAATTATTACAACGTTTTTCTTATTTAGAATAATAATTTTATAACAGTTCTGAAAATATTGAATTAGATTTTTATAGCAAAACACTCCTCTTGTTCTAATAAGTCTATGGTAGAAAATCGTACGCTCTTCTCTGTCTCTCCAAAGGTCATTGCCAAAATGTAATTATTGTTTCTATTCGACAATAGAAGGCAGTATGGTTAATGCAGAGATGGCCTCCAAAAGGGAATTATTTCGTGGTAGAATTGTTGTTGTGAGCTCAAAACTCATAATTATTGTTGATACCGGTGGTTTTCGGATAACACAATGTCTAATTAGTTGGAGACTCTTGGGAAATTTAGTGTCAATTATTTTTCCAAGTAGTTGATTTGGATGAAGTGTGGGCCTTGCACATGAACTTCATTATTTATAATTTCCTTCGACCTTAAATACGAGTACTGAACGTGACTTGGTGCTTTTTCCTGTGCTCTCGTGTAGGAGTTCAGCCACCACAACCTACGTTGGTGAATCAATTTGACACCTAGTGCTGGGTTTTGCCGAGTTGTTTAAATTTTTGATAGACATCGGCCTCCATTGGTGAATTGTGTTGGTGGGACCCTTTTCTCGCCTTCTTGGGAGTTTAATCGTTGTTACAGCTACACCTCAACTTTCGAGCTGAGGGGACCTATCTGCATTAATACTCCGAAACGATCTTTAACTAGGATTTACGATTGTGAGGAGCAGCCCCCCATTTCTGTGAACCCTCATTGTTCGAGGGTTCTATGTTCGGGTTCTGATTTACATCTGGATCTTCCTACCTTTGGTTACCTTTGCTTCGTTGCTTCCATTTGGCTATCCCTTCTCTTGTGTGGGAATCAATCCCACCATTCTGCAATAGCCAAGCACCTACCAAGGTAATTTTCTTTTGATCCTATTTTTTGCTAAAAACTATTTAGCTGGGGGTAGTACCAACTAATTTCCTTTTGTTTATCTCCCAGGACTCCTTTTAATTTTTTTGTTTAATAAATATTTGTGTCATGTGAATTTTTGTTTTCTTTAGCTCCAGAGACATCATTTGGCAGTCAGGTCGCAAGCACTACTTTTTTTATTTCCTTTTCCTAGTTCTTGGAACTCAACCACAACCATTTGTATCAAAGACCAAAGTACAAAGAAAAATGCGCTGAACTATATATAGCCAGAGTAACAATACTATACAGGGTGATTCTGAAAATCGTGGAAATTCAATTAATTCAACATTTGGTTTATTATATTTAAAACATAGCAAATTTTACAGAAATACCCAGATTAAAAAATACGGAACCCACAAGCCCACAGAAGGCATAGCATTGTGTGTGGGAACGAGGAAATGGAGATTAGGTGCACAAATAGCAGACAAAGTATCGATTAACATGGGTCCTAAGATACCTCCTTAGCGTGATAGTAACATTGTAATCAATTCGTACAAAGGTGCTCGTGCCAGAGGCAGTGCTGTAGTTGTTTTTTTTTTATTTTTTTTGTTGTTGAAATTTTGAACCATGCAGAAGAATAAACAAAGTATTTTCTGCGCCACTAACTTTTTTTGAAACATCTATTGCATTTTTAGATAAGGTACTTATTTATATAATAAGTTGTCATTGAAAAGTGTGTGTTGTTCATGAGCAGAAGAATCCAATCTCACCAACACTCTGAATCGAGGTAATAACACATTTTAGGAGCTATCTGTTTATAGGTACTTT